GACAGGCTTGGACTAGCACTCTAAAAATATCTGTGTAGACTGGGGTCGGTAACCTAAAGCACTCATGCCACTTATGGCATGCAAGTCGATTTTCAGCAGCATGCAGGAGGGAGCTCACCTTGTTTCTCTTCCCCTGCAAATCCACTGCAGAGCGCTCCTTCCTCCCTGCAGCAAGTTAGGCTTTGTTGGGAGGAGGCAGTTCTGGGGCTGAGGCTCCTTAGCGACCCCTCAGCCAGGACCGGAGGCCCCGCTGCCACAGCCATGCGGTCCAGGGACGGCCCAGAATTACGAGAGCGGTGCCTCCAGCCCCGGACCACGTGAGCCTTGGCAGCAGCAGCAGAGCCTCCTTTTGGGGTGGCCTGGGATAGTGTGACTGCAGCCATTGCTTCAAGGGGGTGCAAAGCCAAGCAAGGTTCCCCCTCATGGCCAGACCCTCCCCCCATCCCAATCCCCTCACTCCCCTTAAGATCCCGCACTCCTAGCTTGCTCCGACACCCTCCCTCCTAGCCAGACACCCCACTCTTCCCCTTCGTCCACCATTGTTGCTGCACTCTCTTTCCAGGCCACACGTTGCACTCTCTTTCCAGGCCACACGTTGCACCCTCCCTTGCTGCTCCTTCCACCTCACCAGACACCCTATTCCCAGCCTGCTTCTGCACCGGACTTCACAACCTCTCCCCCTTCTGCACCCTACCTCCCTCCCCGATCCTGCACCCGTTCCTGTCCTACTGGCTGACAGCCATATCTCACACTCTGGACCCCTCATTTTTGTCCCTACCCCAGAGTCTAAGGAGGTCCATAAAATCCACTAACTCCAGAACCCCAGAAAAGTAAATCTGGTCTATGGGAAACCCTGAACCTCAGTCCCCCTCCCCCTTCCCTTCACCCCATGAGGCTGAGGCTCCAGAGGAGTGAGGTGTCAGTTGGGGGCCACAGCAGTGAGGGCTGGGGCATTTTGGAGGAGTTGTTTTGCTTCTCACTTGTTATCCTCAACTAATTGTTCTGTGGGTCAGTTCCCCATCCCTGCCATTAATAAAGAAAACAGGGAAACCATAATATTTTACTTTATTTAAAATAAAGTTTGATTAAACTAACATGAGACAGTTAAAACACTTAATCTGTTTCATAACTTAAATAAACCGTTCTCCCTAGCTGCAACTGGTTCAGAAAATATGGTCACCGTACCCAGCCAGCCCTTGCCTTCCCTCCCTTCTCTTCCTCGCTCCCCCCAGCACACAGATCCATGAATAAGTTAAATCTTGGTACGCCTCTTCTGAAAGGTTTTTGACCCCTGTATTGAAAGGTAAGATCTGCATCTTTCTTTATTAATGAAGATGCTATCAGCAGGACTATCATTAACTTTAAAAAGTATCAGCCCTCGGATCTGTATATAGAGGTGAATAAGTCAATTCTCAGCACGCCACATCTGAAAGGTTGCTGACTCCTGCTGTAGACGGTGCTCTGAAGCTGCAACTTGGGCTGGAACTCAGGCTTTAAATCCTCCTGAAATAGGAGGCTCACTCCCATGTGTAGATGTATCCTTAGTGTGTTCAAAGCTGAACACAAGGAATAAATCCTATCGCATGGACATTCATTGTTCACATTTACCTAGGATAAGATGCAATTAAAATTGTTTTGGAAAAGGGGACATTTTAAAAAGACTTGCATTACAGGAACTTAAGTGATGAAAAAACCCAGCACCACATGGCTTATGTTCTGATTTCCCCTGAAGAATCTGTACATTGAGAAGTTGTATTATGAGAGCATATGAGAGCATGTGATGACATTTTTCTGATAACTAATAGTTACGGAGCTGGTCACAAACGATTGCGTAGCATACTTTGAAGCAGATTCTTTCCCAGTTCCCCTTTTATTTTCTTTTTTTATAATGCTACTGTTTTTTCAGTCAAACATTCTTCCCAAGGAAGAGGGAGTTCAATTTTTTTTTTAATTTCTCGATCTACAAAGACTTCTTACAGTAGTGTTAAAAAAGATAATGGGAGGTGAGAGGGGAAGGAGACTAACATATTGGCTCCATACTCGGTAATATAGATAGTCTTGGAAGGAGTTAAGTTTTTATTAGTAAATGTCTGTAAATGTCAGTTTCACCATTCACTCACCAACTGACTGGGGAATATATTTCTGTAGAGCTGATTGAAATGTAAGATTAAGCAGTATTTTTCTTAGTTTGCACGAGAAAATGTTTGTCTGATTTAAGGGTACTTCCTTTTATATAAAAGTTTTGACAAGTGACGATGACAATTTGTGTTTGAATGGTTCTAGAGTTTTAACTCTTTTGAATCTCAGCATCTGTCTCATTTAAATAATTGTCTGATCCCCTCCCTATTTTCTAGCTCCTTCCATAATTTCATGCAACTGTGAACATTTAAATCAATAAAAATAGGGAAATTATAAAAAGTAAAGATGACTATCCATTGAATTTTAAAAAATCCAATTCTGTTAAGCCTAATTATAAGGGGTACACAGAGGAGATGATCCTTGGACCTGAATAAATGTGTAAGGGATAATTTGATGGCAGCAGAAATGTGATTTATTTTCTCCTCTATTGAAAACACAAAGCCAGCATTGTAAAGCCAGCTGCTTGGAGAGAAGTCAGAGATCATCACAGCAATCATAAAAGGATTCAATATATCAAAGCATCTTACTGAATCCTTAGAAGAAGCTCAGAAAAGGTCTGAGCGGCTGCCGATATGCAAATTTTCTGAGACCGGTAGCAGCAATCACCAATTTTGACTTCCTCTAGGTGTGTCTCTTGAGCCTCATCTACTGTATGAAGTCTGGATATGGTGGTCAGAAATCACATTTGTTAACATGATGCTGATTGTAAATTAGCAGCCATCATAGATTAGAATAATGCTGTGTCAGCATCATCTTGGTTAACTCGAGATATAGGATTGCTAACTGCCTAATCACACAAACCCAAACTCTCTTGGCCTAGCCTCTGCCCCACCTTTTGCCCACAGTCCCACCTGCCCCACCTCTCTCTGGCACTTGCTCTCCCCAATAATGGTTCACTTTCACGGGACTAGAACAAGGAATTGAAGTGTGGGGGAGGATGCACACACTGAGAAGCAGCTGAAGGGTTCAGAGAATGGGAGAGGGCTCTGGGCTGAGCCTGGGGCAGGAGGGATTGGGGGCAGGACGGGGTGCAAGATGCAGCCTCTGGGAGGGCATTTAGCTGTGGGATGTGGGTTTGGACTGCAGGTTTTGGGAGCGGTTTTGAGGTGTGGAAAAGGTTGCAGAGTGCTGGCTCCATCCAGGCAGTACTTACCTCAGATGGCTCCCAACGTCCTTGCCCTGGAGCTAAAGCAGGCTCCCAGATATGGCCGCTATAAGCATAGAATTCTCTTTTTGCTGGTGAGTGCTCAGTCCCCCCTTCCACTCCAGCCTCTGCTCCCATTCCACCTCTTCCTGCCCCTGCTCCACCCCCACCTCCTCCCTGAGCTTGCTCCTCCTTCTCCTTCTTCACAGAGCTTGAATGCTGCAAATCAGCTGTTTGTGGTGCCCAGGAGTATGGGAGGGAGAGGAGGAGTTAGTAAGTATGGGCCACCAGCGCACAAGAGGGGAGGTGGGCCAGAGCAGTGTTTGGGTGTGGAACACCCACCAGCACCACTGATTCATCCCTGTGGGTGCTCCAGCCCCAGAGCAACCACAGAGTTGGTGCTTATGGCAGTGGGAACCTCCCTGCAGCCCCTACAAGGGAATAGGTGATTCCACATGCTGCCCCCATCTGCAGATACTTCCTCTGTAGCATCCACTGACCATTGTTTCGGGCTGAAGAGTTGGCACTTGGGATAGGAACAGCATGCAGAGAACCCTTGCTGCTCTTCTCTCCCCCACCCACTTGGCACTTGAGGGACATGCCAGCCATTTCAGAGAGCAGAGCTTGGGCAGGCCAGGGCCTGTCTCAGCCCCACTGCACCATTGGAGTTTTAGTAGCCTAAAATCTCCTGGGTTGGCTTTAGAAGCCTCCAGGAGTGAAGAGCCCAATTCTGGGAGACTCCTGGTGAAATTGAGAGGGTTGGCAACAACTATAGGTTACAGGCTTAACAGGCGTGGTCAATAATAGCCTCCAAGTGATGACTTACTGTCCAGAGGAGAAAACAGAGTTTAATTCTGCAAATTATGTAGATGAAAATACAAAATACACTTGGAAGCTCTCTTAATCTCTCTGTCACTTTCTAATAAATAATTCTCATCTTTTCCCATTGCTAGAATTCAGAGTTCATTGGGTCACTGGTCTAATGAAGACACAGTGGCTTGATACATTGAAATGCAAAGTGAAAATATGGTTTCTTGTCCTAAAGCTTCCATGAGGTATTATGTTTCAAATCATAATTCAAAGGAAGCCCAGAACTAATTTGTTTTCATTTTCTCTTGTGTGCTAAGAGAACTTGTCTTAGTGCAATTCATGACTAAAAAGGAATAAAATAGTCAGGGCACCTATCCTATTACTTTGTGCAAGATTATATAAAACAGATGTTACTGCATTCACTTAAAATGTGTTCTTATATAGTAGATGGCTTTGACTTCATCTGTGTGGGAAAGTACCTTGCTTCTTACGGGTGCAATTGCAATCGAATTGACTACCACTGTGTAAACTAACAATTTTCAAAGAATTGTATGGAAGGTATGTACAAAAAACCCCTAGGCTAATCCTGTTGTAAAAGTGAAATGTACCTCTGCCTCCCATATACTGCTTCTTAAATGTATTCTCCAAGATCAGTGGGAAACTACTGTTCTGATACTGGATTTGGGATATTGAGTTTGATCTAGGAACTACTGGATGAGATTCTATCATGTGTGTTATTCAGGAAATCAGACTAGATGATCATAATGGTCCCTCATGGAATTATTTAGACTATGCAGCACTCCTCTAACTTGTCAGTATACATCATGATCCAATAGTTCCCTCTGTTGACTGTTTTAGGTATTGCACATGCAGTTTTTCACTTTTCTCATTATGCTTTCTCCGATAGGTCGTACTGGAAGATATACTTTGATAGAAAAATGGAGAGATACAGAGAGGCATTTGGCACCTCATGAAAACCCTATCATTTCGTTGAACAAATGGGGACAGTATGCAAGTGATGTGCAGTTAATATTGCGCCGCACTGGCCCATCTCTCAGTGAGAGGCCGACTTCAGACAGCGTTGCTCGAATACCTGAAAGAACTTTGTACCGACAAAGCTTGCCTCCCTTAGCCAAGCTGAGGCCTCAGAATGACAAATTGATAAAAAGAAGAGAGCCTAAAAGGAAATCTTTGACATTCACTGGGGGTGCAAAAGGCTTAATGGACATTTTTGGGAAAGGTAGAGAATCTGAGTTCAGGCAAAAGGTGCTCAGCTGTAAAACAACAGCTGAAGAGTTGAAAAAATTGATCCACCTCCAGACTGAGAAGCTTCAGTGCATTGAGAAGCAGCTGGACTCAAATGAGGCTGAAATCCGGTACTGGGAACAGAAGTACAATTCCAGCTTGGAAGAGGAAATTCTCAAACTAGAGCAGAAGATCAAAAGAAATGAAGTAGAGATTGAAGAGGAAGAGTTCTGGGAAAATGAACTTCAGATTGAACAAGAGAACGAGAAGCAACTGAAGGAACAACTCCTGGAGATCAGGCAAAGGATCCTGGAGTGTGAGAGCAAGTTAAAAGACTATGTGGCTCAAATCCACAGGATGGAGAGTGGCCTTGAAGCAGAGAAGTTGCACCGAGAAGTTCAGGAATCGCAGGTGAATGAAGAAGAGGTCAAAGAGAAGATTGAGAAGGTGAAAGGTGACATTGATATTCAGGGCCAGCAGACTCTGAGGCTAGAAAATGGCATTAAAGCTGTAGAAAGGTCATTGGGCCAAGCCACCAAAAGATTACAGGTAAGTACACCTTTTCTGCCTGGGGGAAGATAGCAGGGTTAAGTTTTAATTAGTCAACGATCTGACAAAGTTGGTTGGAAAAACAGGGAAAATCTTCCATGACAATTTTTGTTTTTAAAAAAAAATCTGCTTTTTCTCTATCAAAAAAACAAACAGAACTTGCAATTTTTGGACCAGCCAACTCTAATCCCATGACACAAGTGCTTCTGTCTCATGCCTTTTTTTAACTGCCTCTACATCTCTAAGGATAAGTGATAAAGATTTGTGTGCTTGTTCTTTAAAGAGGATTTAGTTCTGAATGCAAACCAGAACATTTCATTTCTTATTGCAGATTCAGTGCCAGGACTGATTAGTAGTGACCCAAAGTCATTACCATCTGTTGGCTGCTTAGTATCTTGTGTGAAATCACTGAGTGGTCTGAGTTCCAAGTGGATGAGTATCCACATCTGACATAGGCACTATTACCACCATATCTGGTATTATGGTTTGCCAGTATTGCAGAGGCCTGGACCCTTCTCTTACACTAAGGCTACATCTAGACTACAGTGTTTTATCGGAAAAAGGTACGCAAATTGCACTCTGCAATTTGTGTACCTTTTTCCAATAGTTTTGTTGGAAGACAAATTTTTCAAAATTTGGGCTTTCAACACTGGGCCAAATTTCAGAAAAACCTCCTCTTTCAGAAGATCCCTTCTTTTTTGTGGAACGAGGAAGTCAGGGCTTCTGAAAGAGCACATCTGCTCTTCTGCAAAAAAAGAAAAAAGCGGAAGAGCAGATACCTTCCCTAGATGCGGCAGAGATTTTCCGGGTATCCTGGAAAAACCCCGTAGTCTAGATGTAGCCTCAGCATAGTCCCTTTTTCAAGTCAGACTTTTGAGTTGCATTGGGATAACAAAGGTTGAAGCTTGCACTAGCTCTACCTGTCCTTAACCTTGTTTGAGGCTGAACTTCTCCCTCTGTAGTGCTGCTCTCCACAATCTTTCATGAACATAATATTTAGAAAAAGACATAAATCCAAAAGTGGTATCAGAATGAGTGTGTTAAAATATCTAATAGGTTATAAAACAATTGGTTAGAAAGTAGTTTTTTTTTTTTCCTATTCCCTACCTGACCTGTTAGAGTTAAAGATTCTGTTCTCTGTCTGCCTCAGGCAATTACCGAACCAATATCACCAGAGAATCAAGTCACTGCTTTTTATTGCCTGCAAAAGTTAATGATATCACTTGGACTTAAATAGAGCATGAAATAATGAATATAAATGGAAATCCAGGTTGTAGCAAATGTGACGGGGGGAATACAATGACAATGGAAAGCAGATTTCCCTATTCCTGGCACATCTAAGGTCCCAGGCACCCTAGAATTAAGGCACTCCGTTTCAGTTGCACATAGCACTGTTATTTAAATATCTGGTATTAAACCGCTCCTGTATTCCACAGCTGCTGAAGAGTGTGAAGTGATTCTCCTTTCACTATGTGAAGGACTTTGGGATCCTTAGAATCATAAATTACAGTACCACATCAATTTAAGATGTTTTTACTAAATAAAAATGTGGTTAATCTGGGAAGATGAAACAAAGTACATGAAAACTCTAAGCATATGTGTCTCAGCCATTTATCCTCAGCTCCTAGTGACATGACAAATTATCCTTTTAGTTACTGTAATTCTAGAAGAACTCTCTTTTCATGTATTTATTTATTGTATTAAATAAGAAGCTGATAACCTCCATTGAGGCTAAGTTCAGACTCCCATTCTCACTCTCTCATGTGCTCTGAGTGTCCCAAGCAAATGCCTATTAGACTAAATTTTCAATGCTTGTTCTCACTCTAAAGATGATTTTTTTTCTAAAGAGCAGAATCAGTTCAGCTAGGTTTGAGTTATGTAAGCGTGAGGAGGACACACATTTCCCCACAATCTCAGGCTGAAGTGTTAGTGCTTGCATAACTAACTGATTTGACATTAAACATTTTAAATGTGGTTTGTTTGTTATGGTTTCTGCTGAGTAAGGAAGGGCGGAAAATTGGTTCACTAGTTCTAAGGGTATGAACATTTAAAGTCAGCATTTTTGTGAGAATTTCCTAATCACTCTTCTCCCTTTATATCTTTTAAGGACACCTTCAGTCAGGCATGTACTGTGATTTAGCGATTTTCTTTCCTTGCCTCTGGCATTTTAGAAGAGATTTTAAATGCCCCACCCCCCCCCCCCCCCCAAAAAAAACACATTGATGCAACATAAAACACAAGACCCCCTCCCCAGGGGAAATTTTTCAAAAGCTCTTAAGTGATTTAGGAGCTTAATTCACTGGCACTTAAATACTTTTGAAATGTTTACCATCCAGCACTCAGATATTGGGAAATTCCAAATGCTGAGGTTATTTTCAATGTTATTTTTGCCCCTTGCATGTGTTAGTATCATCTGATCCTTTTTCTTTTTTTAAAATGAATGCCTCAGTGCATTATTGTTTGTGTATTTATATAGGATAGAGTAAACATTGTGGGGGGGGGGGAATAGATTTTTGGAATTTCCAGACTTTTGAGTGAGTGATTTCTGAATGCAATATATTAATACAAGCTGAGCTAAAATAGATTGTGAAGAATTTTGGCAAAAATCTGTGTGTGGTTTTTTTTTGTTTTGTTTTGTTTTTTGTTGTTTAAAAACCAATGCAGTTTCCAAAATATATTTGCTAACCAAGAGGTAGACCCTATACACACTCATAGCGAGAAGCAGTCCCTGCCCAAAAATGCTTACAGTTGAAATAAGACAAAGGGGATAGAGAATGGAAATAACGTCCCCAGGTTACAGATGTAAAACAGATGTGCTGAGGAGTTAAGTGACTTGCCCAAATTAAACAAGAAGTCTGTGGCAGAGCCACAGATTGGAGTCAGATGTTCAGGATTCAGCCCAGTGACAATCAAAATTTGCACGGTAGCACTCTGAATTTGGATTATCAGGGCCTCTCACTTCTGTTGGGCTAAGTTTCTGTCCAGGTTACCTGATCTGTGTCTGACGGGGGACAAAGAAGCAAATATAAAGATTTAACCACTGTTAACAAGTCAATAAGACCACAGGATGCAGTATAATTTTACTCTAAGTTAACTGCCTTTCAATAAAAGAACATCTTAAAAACTAATAACTTTCTATTTACCCATCAGAGAAAAAAAATATTTGCCCCGGAGACAAATGGATGGATAGAATTTTGCATGGCTGTTCCAGACCTACCCACTTGTAAACAGACTCATTTCTCCACTTTCTTTTTAGGACAGAGAACAAGAACTGGAGCAGCTAACAAAGGAGCTAAGACAAGTAAATCTCCAACAGTTTATCCAGCAAACAGGAACAAAGGTCACAGTGCTACCAGCAGACCCTATCGAAGTGGAGGGTTCACACATGCAGCTTGAAAGAGGTACACATTTGAAAGTTTTTGTAAGCATTTTTTCTTCTTATAACAATAATATACTAAACATCGAATAAACTATTTATTCTGAGGAACTAGCTTATAACAGGTAGCAAGAGAATGCTATCTAAGACCTCTTGTCATACATAAAAAAAATCTCACACACAGACATTATCTCATTCACTATGAAATAGCATTATGAATATATTCACATGCATTGTGGGTGTGGCAGTGGTAGAACCAGTGTTGTACCTAACAGATAACTGAGCTGCTGCTGTGACAGCTGCTCCCTGCAAGGCTATCTCCCTGGTCCTTCCTCTCGCCCCTCCCCTTTCCTCCCACTTTTCAAAAATCTGAAAACAGTCCTTTTCCAAGACTTTCATTGTCAATCCCTGCATAGAGCCTGTCTGTTAATGGAGCTTCTTTTAGGAGGTCTGGGAATTGATATTTGAAGTGGATATCTACATGGGTCTTACTACATACGTGCACTGTCTGGGTGTGTGTGCATTTTCAAAGCCCATTAACAGCTCACATGACACAGAGTTCCAACTCATTTTAAACTACATAGTCACCTGTGTATATGTTGTATGTAAATTATGCTTGTGCAGCATCCAAACACACTGGTATGCCAAGGAATAAGTGTGTTCTTTAAATGTTATGAATAATAGTAATTATTAAGTAAGGATGTAAAATTTCGATTAACTGGCATCAACTATTTGATTAGTCGATAAGGGCAACTCCACCTTTTAAGTGTAGCAACAGCCATAGGGGCTGTTGCTACACTTCAAAGGCGAAAGCGCTGCAGGGGGCACAGGGCCAGAAGGGGACTCCAGCAATCCCCCGCTGGCCCCATGCTCCCCGCAGCATTTCAAAGCAGCAGCATCGCATGAAGGTCAATGGGGGAGTCCCTAGCTGACCCCGGGCTGCACATGGCACTGCCGCATTGAAATGCCACGTGCAGCCTGGCATTTCAAAGCAGCAGCGCCACGTGGAGCCTGGGGCCAGACCTGAGGCTCCACATGGCGCTGCCACTTTGATGTCCCTTCTCCTCTCCCCTGCCCCTTGCTGCCTCTTTCTGATAGTCAGCAAGGGGGTAGAAGTGACTAGTCGACTAGCATGTCGACTATCCGATAAGCATTTGCTTATTGGATAATCGACTAGTCCTTCACATCCCTCGAACACTAGAACTGGACGGGAAGGTCATCAAGTCCAGTCCCCTGCCCTCCTGGCAGGACCAAGCACCATCTAGACCATCCCTGACAGATGTCTATCTAACCTGCTCTTAAATATCTCCAGAGATGGAGATTCCACAACCTCCCTAGGCAATTTATTCCAGTATTTAACCACCCAACAGGAAGTTTTTCCTAATGTTCAACCTAAACTTCCCTTGCTGCAAATTAACTCCATTGCTTCTTGTCCTAGTAATTATCATCTTACAATTACATAGTAATTATCATCTTTCTTGTGTAGAGACAACATTTCAGTCCGGGTCCCTGAAACGCCCAGGTTCATCAAGGCAGCTCCCCAGCAATCTTCGAATTCTACAGAATCCACTGTCATCTGGTTTTAATCCTGAGGGCATTTATGTATAACAATATATACCTCTTCTGGAGAGGACCTATGAAGGTACCATGGATAGTATAAGTTCCTTCCTTTTTGATTCTACCAATGATGAATGAAAGAAGCTTTTCCTCTTTAAGCCACCACATGTTGCAGTTCTTCATTCTACACGCCACGTGGAGCCATATCCCCTGCACTGATGCAAAGGAACAAAAGAACTGCGTAGCAACACAGCTGTCAATGTTGAAGTTGCCACCCAATAACTATTAGTGCAAAAAGCCTTCATTTTTATTATTGCTACTTCAGAAGCATTTACAAAAGTATTATTCTATGTATAGGCATAAATAAAACACTGACTGAGCAGAGTGAAGGAACCTGTTTGCAACTGGTTTAAGGTTTAATTTATTCCATGCAATCAAAGGAGGTGTGAATGTTGACCTTTACAGTTTTTTATTTTATTTTAAACTTGTGACTAATTATGTAATATTGTACTTCTCAGTCTGACAAGATGACTTTTTTGCGTATATAAGTGTCCAGTGTTGCATCACATTTTAACAATACACGACCACAGGAGTGTTGTGGGGGTGCTGTATCTTTAAAATAGTCTCTAACCACTGACTTTGTTACATAGTGGATTATGATGCATCATAATCCACTATCCATTGCTATCTTTTTAGGCTTGAAAGATGAGTTTGTGGGATTAGCTTCCTGTTGATGCTGCCTCGAATGAATCATTGAATGATTATTGAATTTAAAGCTGGCTAGAAAAGGCTATTTCCAGCATGACTGAGGATGCACTAGTTAGACAGTATTTTATTATATAGAATGTATATTTGCAATATTGTGCCACATTGCATATGCCTTTTGAGAAGCAAATCATATAAGGGTTTTTTTTGCCATATGTCTGTTTTACAGCTTTTCACAGTGTAGTTTTTACTTTTTTTTTCCCCCCTTCCATCAGCCATGACAGTGTTCTTATTTTTCTGTAAATTGTTGCTATTGCTTAACAAAATCCACATGCACACAATTTAGCAAAATGACATCTAAAGGAGCTGGAGTGGTAGCCTGGTCCCATTAAAATCAATAGCATAATTCCATTTGACTTTGCTAGGTCAGGATTTCATTCCTAGTCCTCAATGTTATGGAACGTGTTTTTTAGGTCATTAAAAGATATGCAAGATTATTTCTGTTCAGGGTTTTATAGCGTATGAGGTAAAAGGCAGGAGTTCAGATTCACTAGTAGACTTCCATTTATTTTTACAAAGTTTTGCAGTTATCTAGTACTACCACAAATAAAACAAGGTTTAGAAAAAGTGGCTCCCAAGCAGAATTTAAGAATAAGCACGTACAGATACATCACTTCCAAATAAAGTGGGGTTATGATGCTACCCTGGTCCTGCACTTGGATCAGTGCAGTGGATACCATTGGCATCAGTGGCACTCCTTCATGCACACCTGTGTGACCAACTGCATGGATCTGATTACAGAATCTTGGGCCTTATGTACTAAATTTGGACTGCCTCTTATGATTGCACCAGATATTGCCATCACACGCCTGCAGAGCTCTTTGACTTCAGTGGGAGCCATGCTTGTGCATCCAGAACAGAGTAGACCTTGGGCCCCCAGAAATCAAAATCTAGAAGGAGAATCCCGATTCCATTGAAGTCAAGGGCAAAACTTCTTTTGACATTAATACAATGAGGATTTCATCCCCAGTGAGTAAAAACCCATGCTTTACTAACTAAAGAATAATACTTTAGAAATCTTTTTATTTGTGAAATATAAATACTCTTGCTAGTTTTTATCTAGGTACAAGTAAATCCAAACTTAATTTTCTTATTGTAAAAGACAAGGATTTCCTACATCCTTGTCTTTTTAAAATAAGAATGGTAAATCAAAATTTAAACAATACAGCCCTGAGATGAAGGAATCGCCCTTAAGTGGAATTTTTTCATTTATCTTTTACTAATAGCACCACAAATACTAAAAATGCTGCTGTATTTAGACTAACAACAATTTCCGATAAGGCTGTGAAAATATAAAAGACCTTTCAAAACAGGCTCAGTTTAAAAAAAAAAATCAGCATTCATGTCTCTTTTTACTTGTGAACTGGAAAACGTGCTACGGTAGCCTAAAGAATCTTTACCACACTGAGTTTTTCATATCAGTTACTGAGTGTTCTGTGATCATTTATATTATATGAAATGTATTTTTTAATAGAAAACAGAAATAATTTGGCGTGTATACTGTGTCCCTTGGGCGATGTACCTTACTTTCTAGATCCAATTTTGCCAAACAAATGGCCTGATCTGGTAGGATACTTAGTATCCTCAACTCCCTTTTGAAGTTGACAGGAGTTGAGACAGTCAGCACTTTGCTATGCAACACAATTTGGGCCTGATTCTGCAAGGAACCTGTCACTTAATCACAAAGAAAAGTTTAATCAAATCTTTGCTGCATAGTGATATAAAGGATTGTTAAGGCAGATAGAAGTATTTATCCTGAAAATACTGTTATGATCCAGCTGAAATTGATTTCCATGAGGGCTTAGATTATAAGAATTGTGTGTCTAAGGGTGTTTTAGAGGAGCAGGGTAAGAGAACTTGGGGTGGGGGAGTTGATGGCACAAGGTATTGTTAAGATATTATCCCAGTAATTAAATTTGAAGCCTTTCCCTTTTAACTTACTGGTTTAAATGTAACATTGATTGGTGAGGACTGCTGTTTGGCAGAGAGGCCAAGCATTTAGTGGCTTTGGAAACTAGCTTCCTATCTTCCCAGCTGAAAGACATCATCAGGGCACTTGAGAAGCTTTCTCTGCTTCTACTCATCAGGAGGATAAATAACTGTTGGTGTCCAAGGCTGCTGTTAATAAGGCAATAAATTCACTGAAATATTTTTTATTTTAATTTGAGAAAATCCCTTTAGTTTTCATGCTCTTAACTTGTCTGTAGATCAACTTAAAAAGGCACGCCTTTGAGTTTTGTTTCTTACTATATGATACAGTTCTGTCTGAGCATCATAAAGAATTAAGAATTTCACTCCATATCAAATGTTACTTTTTATAAATGTAGAATTTTATCATGCGTCCATTTTCAAAATCTTTTTTCAAACCTGGTCCAAGAGGAACAAGTAGAACAAAAACAGCACACACTTGAACAGGTGCCACGTTAAATACTGACCCAGCTTAATGAATATAAATGTTTGATTTTATTAAATAGTTCAAGCCACAAGTACTTATTTTCCTGTAAGTGCACAGGAGATTTATATGGAAGACTCCTATTATTGTAATGAAAATGAATTATGTAAATCCCCTTACATTGTCACTCACAAGTGACAATGAAAAAACAGAGAACGGTTTAGGATAACATTTTCAAAAAAGCCGAAGTCTCATTGAAAGATTATGGCTCCTATGTCACCCAAACATTTTTGAAAATGTTACCCATCATGTGAAACTTGAAAGAACATGCGGTAGCATATATAGAATCCGCAAATGAGAGTTTTCTTTGTGATTAAGAGAAGATGACACTTTAGGGAACGAAAACCTCTGCCTTTTTTTTTTCTTTTTTTTATTGCATTATGATGAACTGGGATTATATGAGTGTGGAAAAAAGACCGATCCTGTGGTGTGGGTTTTTTTTGTTTTGTTTCATTTTTTGTGGTTTGAAGTATATAGTTCCTCAATGTGCATTACTTTAAGTGAATTGGGCCTTAATTATCTATGTAAATAGCAAATCTTTATTCATTTTTTTCCAGAAAATAATCTTTAATGGCCTGTATGGTATTAAAATAAGTGTCAAAGTGTTACTTTTACATTATGCCAATTTTTTTTAACGTTGACACGTACATGTTCTGTTTGCTACAGTATTTTCATGTTTTGGATGAAGGCCATCAGCTGTATGGAGATGACAAAACAATCATTCTATTTATTCAGTATTGCTGCTTATTTTCAAAATAAAGCTTTCAATGCCAATACAAGGATTGAATGAAAGCTGCAATAGCTCTCTTCAGGCACTTTTTTTTATGTTTGTAGAAACCAAAATAAGTGCAGGTTATACCTTAACATATAGATTGTCCAAGCAGAAGACCGCTAATGGCAATAACTGTGTGTGTGTGTGTGTGTGTGTGTGTGTGTGTGTGTGTGTGTGTGTGTGATTCTACATAAACGCACATACAGTACATGCACTTAAGTACAGTTCGGTAATGTAGTTAAGCGTATGCTTAACTCCATCTCTGTTCAGCACATCACTGAAGCAGATGCCGAGTAGGGCTAGAGTCGTTACTTTGATAGTCCTAAAGGGTATGATTCAAAATCCATTGAAATCAATGAAATTTAACTACACACAAATGTTTTGCTGAATCATAGCCTTAAAGTTCATTCTGGTGCTAGAGCGAACAATAGTTCTAGTGAGGATGCCTCGTTTTACATGTAGTTATCTCTCTAAAATCTTTCACTCCTACAAATAGAATGAATTTGTGTGCCCCCTATATAGAATACAGAGGAAGGTTTGAAGAATGTTTACATCCCAGATGCAGCTTTAGGTTTGAACATAGTCACACAGTGATTGGGAGATTTGGGTTGCTGAAGCTTTAAACAGGAGAGGCTATGCTCGTTAACTGTGAAGACAAAAAATGACCATTTTTAGTACTGCTTTGCTTAAATGCAAGATGGAAATCTGTATTATATGTAATTATTATTAGTTTCTCTTTTGAGTGTCATTTAAAAAGCTTATATTTTCTGATTATTTTCATGAATTGTTATTCAGCGCTATGAAGAAAAATATTGGATATTCTCCAGTACAATAAATCTTCCCAGATGAATCACTGGATCTTTACAATCTATGGCTTATTGGAATGCGTTTAACATCTCACACTAACACTTTGCAACTGTGTCAGTTTTTGTCCATTGAACAATATCTGGTATAAAGGGAAGACAGGATAACATACCACGCACATCAAAAGGCTTTTAGAAATGTTTATTCTAAATTCATTAACTCTTGATGTTATGCTGGATATAAGCTGAGCATTGTGGCTTTGGATTTATTCACCTAAAGACTGGGGAATTTACCCCAGGTGGAGGGAGAGGAAGGGAGTAGACAACTGATTTGAGTACCAGGCCGGGGAGGAGGCTTGTACCTGAACATATACAGCTGTCACACATCCCAGCAGGTAGACTAGACTCATAACTGGAAGGGAAAAGGAAAAAGGTGGGTCTTGTAGAAAGCTGGTGGACTATTAAAATTTAAGCCTGAAAGGCAGCTCAGAGTCATGACAAATAAATCAGGTACCTTTCTCATATGCGGGCATTAGGTTTTCACATTGACAATTTCTACAGCAGTGATATGTGTGTGTTTTTATTCCTTTTTTTTTAAAGTGGAAAACAGTCTGGTTTTTACATGCAAAAATCCCTTTTATTATTGTAGGGTTTGTTAGGCCATTGTTCTTACCCCAGTTTCAGAGCCGAAGATGTCAGAACCCCTCCCAGTCTGCTCCTGTATAGCTGTTTCACTCCCCCAAAGCCAGGCAAGAATGTTGGGCCCACAGGCAAGGACTGCAGAACAGAATCACAGTGCAGCACAGCTGGGATTATGCAGCACCTGAGAAATAAGAACAATTGCGCAGCAATGTGACCATTTAGGATTTTGGTCTTTGCTGAGAAATTGGTGGTTACACAGTAGTGGCCGCTTCAGTGAGGTAGAAGGAACGATAATAGCAATATACATTGAGAGAGAATTTTTAAAGCATGTGTAGTTCTTTTGGTGGGTAAAGAATATCATTTTTTCTTGTAAAAGATAAACACCCCTTAGTTATATGAGGAATTACAGGTTGTACATCCGGGTCCGATTGGCACTGTCAGGACCAGACCAGTCCTGAATGAGAAAGTTTGCTGGAGCAGGGGAGGTGTCCTCTGCCACCTGCCCTGAGCCAGCTGGCCTCTTGCTTCCAGCCACAGGCGGCTATACATGTCCAGGGTTCTACGGGACCCAGCACTGGCCTCCCGCTGCCGTGGACGGTCAGGTTTCCCCAGCTCTGTGCCGCTGTGGGCAGCTGGGATTCTCCAGACCCCAGCTCCACACTGCTGAAGGTGGCCAGGCTGCTTCGTCCCCAGACCCACACAGTGCAGGCAGCTAAGATTCCCCAGACCTGCACTGCTGTGCGCTGCCAGGTTTCTCTGGCACCCTGCACCATGCTGCTGTGAGTGACCAAGGTTCCCCAGCCCCAAACTGTCACAGGCTGCCGAGGTCCTTACAGCCCCGGCCCCAGCACTGCTCTGGGGCTCCTCTGGCCCTACTGCTGCCCCCAACTCTGGCCAGGCTGCTGGCCATCCTGCCATTAGTCTTCCAGGCACTCTGGTCTAGAAGCAACCTTGGTCCTGCTGGACCAGAGAGTGCTGGATTTTAGAGGTGCAACCTGTAGCAACAAACTTTGGAGAAGCAGTTTAGTTTGGTATCTTTTTAGATGTTTACAGTATGTCGCTGTACCTTGAGCCAGGATAGTCTGACCAGCCTGTCAGGTATGGAAGTAAATGAGTAGCATTAATACAGGGGTCTCAAATACCTGGTCTGCGGGCCATCCCCAGATGGAGCGATTGTGCAATCCGACAGGGGCCTTCCGGGGGGAAGGGGCTGTCCATTACTGGCTCCCTGCCCCACCCTTCTATGGCACCCCGTCCCTCAAGGACACTGCTTCAGGGATCACTGGGGGGCGGGGGCGCTGCTGTGTGGCGGCGGCAGTGGTCAAACTCCTGTGCACTCCTGGTGGTGGCAGAGCTGCTGGGAAGGGGTGTGCACTGGGCAGCTGCACTGCGCTCCGCTTCCCCAGAGTGCCTTTTACCACAGGGAGCATGGGGGGAGGGTGTCCTCAACCACTGCCACTGTGCAACACAAGGGTCTGCCCCAGTGACCTCTGAAGCAGTGTCTTTGGAGGACAGGTTGTCATAGAGAGGAGAGGGTTGGGCAAGATGGGAAGGGGCAGGGTGTGGGGCCTAGTAACAGACAGGCTCCTTGTCCTAGGCCAGACTGTACAATCGCTCTGGGCGGGGATGTTCTGCAGGCTGGGGTTTGAGACCCAGATACTCGTAGACTGAAGAGAACAATGTGTCCCCAACAGTTCTGAGCCCTTTTGCTACCATACTAATGTGCAGCTATGCTTGAAGAGCAGCATGAATTTTGGAGCAGCATGAATTTTGGTGTTGCAGGAGGCACCATCCTTAGTTTAGCTTGCATGTAAACCAACAGGGTTTCCTAGTAGGAAGCGACTACCCAATAGGGCTGTTTCCATTCTTTAATTCTGCGTCAAAGAATAAAACGATACAATGTTTGTGCCTGAGGCTTTGCTGAGCTAGTGAGGGCTACTGCAGCATGTCATAAGACCAGTAACATGTGCTTTATCATTTCATTAGCTCTCCTATGGAAAGGCACCTTTTGAAAGGCTATGTTCCTATTTCTGCTTAGTGAGGGGTCCTAAGTATTGTATCAAGTATGGTGACAGTAAGTTAACTGTTTTACTATAGTACACAACTGGTAAACTTGTTGCTTTAATTGTCCTTTTAACAGAGGTGGGCAAAATACAGCCTCTGGGCCGCATCCAGCCCACCAGACATGTAGGTCCGGCCCTCCATAGTCCAGCAGGACCCGCAGGCGGGTTCCATGGCTGCCACAGTGCACACGCTGCTCAAAGCAGCCAGCTGCTGGGACCAGTGTGTGTGTCTCCAGGAAGCAAAGATTGAGGGGAGGGGGTGGAGACCTCTTTCTCGCGACAGGCTGCACAGAGGGACACATGCTGGCCCCAGCAGCCAGCTGCTTTGAGCAGTATGTGCAGCCAGGGAGCCTGTCTGAGGCTCCTCCTGGGCCACTGGCCAGGAGCTGCCTACAGTAAGTCTCCCAGCCAGAGCCTGCATCTGGCACCTTCTCCTGCACCCTACACCTCTGCACCCCTGTCCCAAGTCACAACTCCCTCCTGCACCCAATCTCCCTCCCTGACCCTGCACCCCAATTTCGTACCCAGAGCTCCCTCACGTAGCCAAACTTCATCCCAGACCCTGCATCCCCTCCATTAATATCATAGAAAAATATGGCCCCTGACCACTTACCAAATTCTTGGAGTGGCCCCCCCATTGAAAATTATTGCCCATCCCTGACCTATGACCTCAATATAGTCACATTCTGGGGTGCAATTCAGACCAGTAAGAGGTTGTGTCACTGTGTATATTCTAATCCTGAGTACCCCTAAATGTTGCTTGTACTTGTGGCTTCTTGTCTGGGACATACACACAGCCTGCTGTCAAAGTGCACTCTGTGTTCAGTCTGCTCTACAATGCTGTGTTCAGTCTGCTCTACAATTCACCCATTCAAAATCCAGCTATCACAGACCCATCCTGGTCTCACTAGGCTTAATATTAGCAAGTAACACCAGTACATCTCTGCTCCTAAACGTTTGCAAACCTCTGTGCCATGCAATGCCCAGCCCTCTCCTGCATCATTCAGAGGGCTAATAAAATACCTTGAAGAAAGAACCATGAACTTGCCTCGGTAACTAGAGTTAACATTCACTTTAATTCAACCAGAGCACTGGGGTTTTAGCTTAATAGTAAAACAAGTTTATTAACACAAGCAGACAGGATTTTAAGTGAGTTCAAATGTGAGAAAGTTAGAATCACAAGCAAATAAAAGTTAAAATATGTATTAAAAGTCTTAAAACTTAACCTAGCAAGGTACAGGCTTTGCTCTTCTCATCCAGTCTTCCAGCGAGATGGTAATTGCTGACCTCCCGTTGGTCAGAGTTTCTCCAGAAGCCCCAAAATGCGGCTCTTCATCTTTGTTGAAAGAGAGAAGTGGGGCTCTCTACCCTGTTCTTTTATACTGCAGTGAACCTTTAACATGGATTCTCCTGAAGCAAATCCCTCAAGGTATAGTTTATTCAAGCTGTGAGGAAGATGACATGGAGCCTGGTAGTGAAGGAGTCTCTATGCTCTCTCCCCTCCCAAACACACTGGTGTTTGCAGGAAACAGAACTTGCATTTTAGCGATCTCTTCCTCCTCCTGTCTGGATAGTCCTATTTACTAAAGTGATGTAAACACTCCTTTGTTCAGGACAGACTTGTTGATTAGTTTTACCCAGGCAAGGCTATCTGGTCCTGGGTATATGATAATGACTTCCTACAGCAGAGATTCAGACTTTCCATAGAATGTTACATACATTTCACCATGATGTTACTGACCAGCAAAGTATTAGTTTTAAAATGATACCTATCAAGGCATACTTTGTACAAAGATTATTACACTAGTGCAGGCCTGGGCAAAATAGGGCCCGTGGGCCGAATCCAGCCCACCAAGCCACCCGATCTGGCCCACGGAAGCAGCGGGGAGCCCCAGGCAGGCTCCCCAGCTTGCCTCACAGCCCCATGCAGAAATGCAGCTGCAGGACTCCATTTCTGTTTTAAAACTGGAGGGGAGAAATTTTAGCAGCTGCCCTGCCCCTAGCACATTCCCATTGGCCAGTTTCTGGCAGACCGCAGCCAATGGGAGCTGCTTGTTGGAGTAACAGGCAGCCAAGAAGAACCACACACCCCTCTCCTGGGCTCAGTTATTCATGAAGCACATGGGCAGGCAGGCTGGGAAATATTTTAAGCTCTGCAGGCAGGCTAGTTTGGCAGTTGACAAGTAAGTCTCTTGGCCACAGCCTGCTTCTGGCACCCAGCCCTTTCCTGCCCCAACTCTCTGCCCCTCCCCCCCACTCAACATACCCAAACCCTCTGTTCCCCTCTTACACCCATACCCCCTCCCAGATCTGGCACCCCAATCTCCTGCCCCAGATCACAATCCCCTCC